CGTTACGAGTTTTAGGTTCTGAAAACGGTCCGTTTAGGAACTAAAAACGGTCCGTTTACGGCACGTTAACTTACCGTTAACGACCAGTTAACGGGCCGTTAACGGTGCCGTTTTCTTGGACCTGGGTCGTCTTTGTGAATCAACACTGAATTTAACAAAATTAAAACATCTGTCGTTGACATTTCGTAATAGAATAACAATGAACTTTCTATCCCTTGATCAATTTTCACCAGGATTATATCTGAATGAAAAACGATCATCAGTTGAATATTTGATGATAAATGCGGACATACATATTCATGATTTAAAGACATTATTTATCTATATGCCAAAATTGAAATACTTGACGATAGGTTTAAAAGAATCCTATTACGATCAGAAATGGAATAAAGAAGAAAAACAACAACCATTTGCTCCTCAATTGGAAGAAATCGAATTACGTTTGAATGATAACATTGATCATAATCAAATTATTTCATTATTGACAGAATCAACAGCAATAAATTTGAAAACGATAATAATTTATTATGAATCTTTATATAATGTTGATGAAATATTAATAGAAATATTATTTCGATCGGCATTTCCATTATCAAAAACATTTGAAATCAAATTTCCTCGAGAAACTTATTATGGTTTTATCTTTTTCAATTATTTTCCTTTTCATGAAGTAAGTTAAGGTTAACGAAATTCAAAGCTTCCACGCTTTTTCTTTTTCTATAGATCATTCGATGCAAACTTTTGCGCTGAATCCGAATATGTATAATTTGTTTAGAAAAAGTTGAGTTTTGTGGTCAAAAACTCGGAAAAACTAGAAAAGTCGTAAGAAAGAAAGAAATGACTTCTTTTGAAAAAGTGCCCTGGAGTTTTTTTTAAACATGTCCTATAGCTTTAAAAATATTTTTTCTTATTCTACACAAAAAGCTGGATCCGAAAACGTATTTTTTGAGAGTATAGCACATGTTGAATACGTCGAAAACAGGAAGTCCATTTCAATGACCAAAAACCCGCAAGTTTCTGCGCCAAAAGCTTCAAGTCTTTTTAGAAACGACACAGAGCAGATGTTTTCTCATGAGTAGATTCGCCAAGTCCAGCTGATAAAATTCAAGCATTATCTCTTTTCAAATCGCTTTCGGTATACTTACTTGTTTGAATATTAATAGAAATTACAGTTTTATTTGGTACATCCAGGATAGGGGTGTAGCCGTCTTTTTTCGTATATGAGCACACATCACCTTTTCTCTTTAACGAACGAAGTAAGGAAAAGGCTGAATTATCGAATGTGCCTTAGCTGTAAATTAATCCTGTATTCTGCGTACTTCACTATTAAAACTGGAATAATTAGAGAAGTCCTCTTTCCCGTTTATTACACTAATTTGAAATACACAAATTGCACTATATATTGCTACATTTTCCGGAAAAAGGTTCCTTTTACTTTTTAAGATATAGAACTGTCTTGATGTTCCGAAAACTCGTAAAGAAAGTTATGTTGATCATTCCATAGCAATGGCAGAATTCCTGCATTTCAGACGTTCTACAGAATTCTATAGAATTCGACATTTTCGATGTAAATCCTACGACAACTATTTCACAGCTAAAACGTGAAATGCCCGAGTTGTTCTCAAAACAGAAATCTAGGAAATGTATAGAATTCTATAGAATATTTATTCTTTTCTCCATTTCTTGTTTTATATCTCACTCTATAGTGCGCACAGAAAGAAAAAAAACATCAAAGCAAAGAAAAATGAAACAAAAGAGAACGGGAAAAAAGCAGTATCGTTGGTGTCTACGGTTGAATACAGTGTAATATACCGTGAAAACTCACAGTGGAAAATCCGGGTCCCAAAAGTGTCTGGACGCAGACGAGATTTTTGTACCGTACAACGTAACTCATCGCACTGATTCCGAATATGTAAAAATCTCAAAGATCGCTTCTCTAGAAAAAAGCCATCAGATTTTGATATGCGATAGGAGATATGGAATAGAATAAAAAGTGCTAGTTCCCATGTAAAAACAGTTTATTGTCTTACTCAAAAACTAAGAGTTGTCCGAGAAAAGGGGTAGCATATTTGAAATCCTTAGAAAAATCAAAATCAAATGAGGCATGACCCAATGTTCTTCTAGCTTCGAAAGATACCTAAAAACATTTTCATCACTAATACCAAATAAATTATACTGATTGTTGCCATTTGCTGTTGAGGAATTTAATCTTTTCTGAACGTTAAACCAATATAAATGAGTTGTATTCTTGCACTGTACTCGTCCTCCTTTACTCCCCATTCCTCCTAAATAAAATTTGCTCCTCCTTTTGTCCATTTTCTCTCCTTTTCCTCCTTTTTGGTAACAAATGGACAGCTGGTTTTAGAACAGCGTTTAATAAAAGAGTCTTCTTAAAGAGACTTAGTCATCATACATTGCTTCTTATCTTTCACTCAGTACCGTCTGTTCTTGTAGTGATCGTTACAACGTGATCTGAGTCGTTATTACACTATAAGTATTTTTGGGCACTGCATACCGAGTAGTCATCAGTAGTTCTCTATTTGGTATGTGTATTTTTCCTTTCTATAAACTCTCTTATCTACAGTTACGGGAAAAAGTGTTTGTACGATGGAAAATAGAAAATTTGTAACGCCATTATCTCCTGAAGCAAGAAGGATACGAAGACTTCTTTTTTACCATTCGATAGCTCTAAGTCTCATGGGGAACCTCTCGAGTTGATAAAACGCTTTTTGATTGAAATCTAGTGGATTATAGACTATCGACCATGCTGATTCCGAATATGATTATGGAGGTTCCTTAGTCGTTCGAAGATGTGGTTTTCTGGAAAACCGGTTTTCAGGTTTCTGGTTTTGGTTATTTTTCAACCTAAAAAACAACTAAAACCTTTCTTAATAATTCATAATTGTAGCCCGCAAATTTCTGATTGAAATGAGACGTCTCTCAGCTCTACACGACCTTTCTTTGCAAAATTAAGAGAATTTACAAGCAAACCCCTAAATTAATTTTTTGAATGATGTGCAATGGAATGATGTGCACCTCATCGGCCATTAATTAATTTTAAACGTAAAATAGCTCATCTTATATTATTTCAGGTAAACCATAAACAGATACATGCAGTTTTTCAAGCATTATCAAATGATATATTTAAAGTTATTTTTCGATAAATTTTAGATAGACAAACAACTTTTTATGTAAAATTTGACTAATTAATTAAAAACTCAATCAATAGAAGAATTTGAGATAAAAATCTGCTATTAACAAGAAATGAAGCTGAGACTGAGAGCTATCGAATAGTAAAAAAGAAATCGTCCTATTCTGCTTCCTTCGGGAAATAACGGCGTTACAAATTTTTCTTTTTCCAATAACTGTATCTTCCTATCATTGTCTATTGTGTAGCTATAGCAGGACCAAGACGTGGGCTAAAAAAGACTTTTCCCGCAAGGGAGATTTGAGTCAAGAATATTTTTGACAATTTCGTAAAAGCAGCTAAAATTTTACCTTTTTTCCATATCTAAATATGAATTTTTAGAAAATTTCCGGTATCGGGACTGAAAATCCGCCCGTTCGTTCCGCCCATATCATGTCACCAGTAATTCTTTTAAATTTCTCTCTCTTTATTGATCGTATATAAATATCTTGCACTTTTCGAATTCAGAAGATTCCATTCATTCTCGCTAACATGTGCCAAGTACTTTCTTTTCTTCCACTCAATTTTTTTAAAATAAAGTTTTTTAAAAGATATCAGAAAACTCCATTTGTGTCAAAATATGATCAAATTCTGCTGCACTTATCTATTATGTTAAATTAGTGTTTCCAGCTTAGTATTTACGAGACTGAATAGATCTAATCCGATGGTAAGGATGAATCATGAGAAAAAAACATAGTTTAACTTCTTTTTATTTGCTACTATTAATTTCTATTTCTTTTATTCACACGTTTAAATGTAAGTAACTAATAATTAAATGTATATACAGAACAATAATAAAAAATGTTACTATAGAAAGAAAAACTATTAATGATCAGCACATTAATTAACAACGACAAAACAAAATAAATAAATTAATAAAAGTGAAAAAATTAATAATAAAAATGTTGCTCGGGTAATTCGAACACAATGGGATACTGTAATATTTTATACAGAAAAAATAAACTGAAACTGAACTGTTCTGTACACGAGAGTGAATGAAACTGAGTAAGTAAATAAATGGATACACATAAGCGAAAATTGAATAAATAAAAACACAAAAATTTGCCGGAAATGAACAAGTTTTAATTATCCATGTTTATGATTTATTCGTTTTGGTCTTGTTTTTGTTGCTTTCTTGAGGGTTGGTTGCACTTTTTCAAGTTCTTCATCATTACTTGCCCGTATAACACTGTTCGGCTCTGGCTTATATTTTATCGTGCTATCAACCTCTAAACAAGCAAAGATGAATTTATTATTTGTCCCACTTCGTCTTCCATAAGTTTTACCTGTGTTCACTGGTATGCAATTGAATTTCATGTTTACCGCACATATATCGTGATCGATCTTCTGTTATACGAACATGTTCACGGTAGAACGCCGTGGATTCTCGTTCTTTATCAGTTGTATTGTTTCTAACTTTGCTAATAAAATAATTGCCTTTTTTCAATAATCCGAAATAAATTAATAATTGTTCAGCCATAATTTTGTCACAATCAGATGAAACATGCGACAATGTTTTTGTTATTTCTGTTTTTGTAAATAAAACTGATGATAAATCTTTTTTGCATATTGTCGAATGGTATTGGCATATTCTTGTTCTTCAACTGAATTTCGATCTGGATTGATAATTTTTGATAAATCAGTATTGTTAGTTTTATCCATAGCCTTCAGAAGAGAAGATGATGAATTGGATGGTGATGGAGTTCCTATTATACAGAATAAGAATGAATTAATCACAAGTACATTTTGTAGCCGTTTTTCGTGACACTTACTTGCAATTACTGTTTGTAGTTGAACTGTTTCTTCACTATTTATAACATTATTATGGGGAGAAACGACAGTGGGATGTGAATTCAGCGTAGTTACTGATTGAGTAACACCAGATAACGGTTTTTGAGTTATCATCTTGTTCAATTTCTGAAAATAAGTATACAGGAATATTTGTGACTAAGTCTAGCATGACATGAGACAGTACCTGCGGATATTTTTCTTCAACTTGTTCAAAATGTACTTTGGTAACCATCAATTTCAACAAAGTCAAAACAGTTTCTGCAGTAGAGTTTGTATTACTAACTTGACTAGCTAAATTGAGTGATTATTTTAGATTGAGTGGATAGACTTTAGTATGAAACACGTATGCTGAAAACACTTGATGGCACCTTTGCCTAATTAACACTGTCTTAAAAAAGAAAAGAAATAGGGCTTTTGAAGTCGTTCCATCCCCTTCTCTGCCTCAATGGTCACTGTAGTTATCAAATTACCCTGCACAAAAGGTAGT